AAATTGCTTACAACAACAACAACCCAGTTAAATCCCACAAGAGTAGGGTCTGGAGAGGGTGTGTGTACGCAGACCTTACCCCTACTCGAAAGTAGAGAGACTGTTTCCAAAGGGACCCCCGGCTCAACGTCGAAAGTTGCATTGCTTGACTAACTGCTACTTCATTAATTAAAGAAGCGCAGACAGTTTAGAGATCCATTTTGATTTATTCCATCACATCCCAAAGCCAAAAAACAGTGAAATTTTGGCTCCATCAGAGATGATGGAAAAGCATAAATTAAATTGTTTGTTTATTATTAATAAGGTAAAACTTCATCTACATTCTATCTCTTTTCTGGTAGTCAATTGATATAATAAAAAAATGTCACCACTAATTTTGTAGTTTTTTAATGTAGGATTTTAATATTTAATACTTTGTATTTATTTTTTAGTTCTACATCATTTTTCATGTAAAATGGTTTAGAAATCGTTTCAGTCAGATATCGTAAACTGAAACAGACAATATAAATTCAGACAGACATAGTATAAGCTAAAAGAGATGTATGTAGATTGAATGCATGTCTAAGTAGGGGACTGTGTAGAGTGAATTTAAACTTGGGAGATACAATTGAAAAAGGTGGAGCGATGTGTTTCGGGAGGGGCGGGGTGGGAGGTTTACCGAGAGGGAGGGAAGAGAGTTAGGAAGAGGTAAGAACCGTCAATTTCACGAATAGAACGTCCCCCAAGTCATCCTATAACATATGAAACTTGTTGTACAATCTTAGTTTGAAAACTGAAATTTATGTTAATCCAAATCTTTAAAACTAGTGGAATGATTAAAACAAGCAGTTGGTACGAAAGGAATGAGATTTCACATAGAGTGTGCATACATCGTGTTCAATAATAATTATACATTGGAAAACAAAAATATATTGTCTTATAGAAAAAGTCATTATGTTTTAGTTCTATTTAACTAAATTTCTTTATATACATTTTTGTGTTTTTTAATGACAAAGTTGTTCATTTAACTATAACTTGGGTGAATTTAACCATAATAGGAGTAAATAATGAATAGTTTTTCTTTAATATTACCTTTTTACTCCCTCCGTCCTATAATGATTTTCCCAGAGCACTATTCCAACTTCACGGGAATTTATATTTATTTGTGCTTTTTCATGGCCTATATGATAAAATAAAATATTCTTGTCACCACTTGTTTTGTTAAACTTTTGATGTAGTTTTTAAATATGTATGTTTTATTTTTTATTTCTATACCAATATTTAAATAAAATAGATTGAAAAAACTTGAGATTTTTCTTCGTTTTGCGAACCGGGAAGATCATTATAGGACGGATGGAGTATAAAATAAGAATGAACTACAATAGTTTGTAGAGGAAATAGGATCATGAGTATCCATTCCGGAGCGCAAAAAAAGGGATGACGACTATATGAGTATTTATAGACCTGACAAAAATTGATTTGAGAGTTGAGACCCAACCTCAAGATTTTTGATTTGGAACAAAGATTTTCTTGACATCACAATCATAATAATCTTTTATTTATAAATTAGTACGTGTTCAACTTTTTATATTGTTCATAATATTGTTAAATATAATCAAAAAAATTATTTAAAATTCAAAATAAAATATTCTAATTAATGAACTTAATATGGGTATTTTGATATTTTATTACTCCGTATTATTTATAATGCAAAATCCAAATACTAGTGAGAGTCAAGCAAGAAAAGACTTAACAACATTCAAAGGCACAAGTGTAAGAAGACCATAACAGCAAGGAGTTCATAACACAGGATTTAATAATTCATCATAGAATTCACATGGGAGCTTCAAAATCTAAAAAACCAGTCCTCTTTCCCAGCACTATGAAAATGGAACTTTCTTATAACAAAAGTGCCCATAATAACCATTATACTCATATATTTGGGTATTGAATAAACTGCAGACATGGCAAATCTTTAGAATTTGGTCATAACAGATGATGGGGTGGGTGGCATCTCAACAGTCAGCCTGGAAACTAAAGCTTAGATGATCTCTTTGTCTTGGCATCGTCGCCAAAAGTAAGCAGAACCTTCCCAACCGCTTTCCTATCTTTTAGGGCGGCGAAAGCAAGATTTGCCTGACCATTGTCATATGCAAAGAATAAGAGTGCATCAGACAAAAAAAAAATCTGAACTTGTTTGGAGTGGAATGATTCAACATACACCATCATATGCATCTTTTTGGACCAAGAAAGAAGGGAAAAGGTTGTTACCTCAAACGGCCTAAAAGTATGAGAGATATTTATGGTAATGATGCCCTTTGACAGCCACGACAAGAGCTCATTAACAGAATCTTCGAGCACACTTCGTCTGTGTATCTTATAGCTCCCCCAGTATAGGCCATGTATTGTCCAGTTCTGCACATGAAAACTATGATGCTTATGCCAAGCCAATAATCTACACCACGGGTTTCCCTTTGGAAGGAGATGGTTTTGAAGTGTCAATGAACCAACTCAACCAAAAGCTTATGTGGTTACTTTTTAGTCAATTTACATAGAAGTGCGGTACCTTAACAAGAGCAATATTTGCTGGGATGAGAGGTATATCTCCACTTGCAAATCCAATAACCAAAATCTGTGCTCCCCAATTTAGTAGCTTCAAGCTATCTTTCGAGAGTTTCCCCCCTACTGGATCATACAGGACATCGACCCCTCTTAGTTTTCTTGATCTCAGAAACCCCTTGACATTTTCAATAACATTGTCCTTGCTCACATCAACAACGTGATCAACACCCAAAGACTTCAAAAACTGCACCTTTTCATCTCCCCTACAATTTGCCCGATTAGTAAGATTGCTATAAGGTCAATAGATTAGACCTTTAAAAGGTCATTGCAACGTACAATTTCATCGTAACAATCCACAAATGTTTTCCCCGAATGCATACTATTTAAAATAAGCCCAGAACTTCGACAATTTTAGTAGATTGAGCCACTTCAGCTCTTAACTTCTGTAAAATAATCAAACTCCATAGTATATTGTTATAAAAATAGTATATCCAACCTGCCAGAACTCCCAAGCATGCTTAATAATTATAGAAATTCAAAAACAGCCAAAAAAAGAAGAAAGAATTCAGAACACAATATGAAAAACATTGGTACATTACAAGACAACCCTACAATGATCAAAGCAAGCAAGTAGTACCTTGCTACGGCAATAACAGTGGCACCACAAACCTTCCCAATTTGAACAGCTGAAACACCAACGCCTCCAGCTGCTCCAAGAACCATCAAAACCTGCCATCAAATACACTTTACCAAACAAATGAACATTGGCGAATTCCATGAGACGAATGAATATGAATGGTCTAGAAAGAACCTGGCCTCGGTGCAATTGTGCCCGGTACGAGAGGGCCATGTGTGATGTTCCATATGCCACAGGAAGTGCTGCAGCCGCGATTAGATCACACCCATCAGGCACTAGAAACCTTCAATTCATTTTAATTGAAAGAGTTCACATGAAACTATATATGAATGAAGATTAAGAAATTACATTATGATAGAGGATTTTATTGCAATGAAAGTATGAAACTATTCTTTTTAATTGTAACATACGGAGTATTCAGCATTTGTTTTTCAAATTTATCTAATCAATCAAAATCAGTGAAAAATCAAAGGAAGAACTTACAAATCGGATTGATCGACAACGATGAACTGCGCGAAGGAACCAAGAGCCGTAAAGGAGCAGACACGATCGCCTGCTTTGAACTTGGTGACGCCGGCACCGACGGCGTAGACGATTCCGGAGTAATCGGAGCCGGGGATGAACGGCAATGGAGGCTTCTCTTGGTAGAGCCCTTGGATTTGCAGGTAATTGGCGAAGTTCAAGCTCGTGGCTTTTACTCTGACCCGGACGGAACTGGGCGAGTTGATTTCAGGGATTGGATGGGAAGTTGAGAAGGCGAGCGGAGAATTCTCCGACGAGTTCGGCGGGACTGTTGGGTCGCCGATTGCTCTGCATACCAATGCTTCCATTTTCCCTCTTCTTTTTTTCCCGGCGATCTTTGCGAAATGAGTGAGTTACACAGTTGAGCTCATATGAAACTATGAAACTCAGTATAAATCACTGAGTTTGACCAGTGTTATTTGGAAAGGAAGATAGTGAAAACTAAACATAGAAATGTCCGACCCATAATTTTTTGAAAATTGGGAGAATTTCACAAATATTAAAAAAAATACTCGTAAGATAATACGGATTATGGAGTACAAAAAAATAAAGTTTTTATGAATTTGATTTTAATGTCATGGGATATTGACTCTAATTTGGATACTTACAAAGCTTGGTTCGTAAAAATCATATACCCCGGAGTAGTTCTTACTTATTTAATCCATGGTAAATTTTTTACTTCAATTGCACATCCAAGATTTAGTGAATTTTGAATTAATTTTTTTTATTTAAAGTCAATTAAATTTGAAAGTATAATTGAACGGAGCGAGGCAATTTAGATTAGGGTGGAGTAAAAGTTATCAAGAATTAGAATATGTAAAAACTATCAATTAGAGCCAACGTCATCTCACAATATCAAAATATAATGTATGACTAAATATAGTCGAAATAAAATACTCCCTCCGTCCTAAAACTTTCTTCCCAGTGCACTATTCCAACTTCACGGGAATTTATATTTATTTGTGTTTTTTCATGGCCTATATGATAAAGTAAAATATTCTTGTCACCACTTGTTTTGTTGAATTTTTGATGTAGTTTTTAAATATGTATATTTTATTTTTTATTTCTATACCAATATTTAAATAAAATAGATTGAAAAAAATTGGGATTTTTCTTCGTTTTGCGAACCGAGAAGAAAGATATAGGACGGAGGGAGTATTTGAGATGGATAGAAAATGTGATAGCATATAAAAATAACCAGAAAAAGGGAGTACATAAATTTTTAGTACACTTATTTTTTATATAATCGATTTGAATATGGAAGACTGTATAAAAAAATGATTAAAAAGGTAATGCTAGTTAAGTTAAAATAAGAAGAACGACTTTACTCTTAAAAAGTCTCATTTAAAAAATTTGACATTACTTACGGGACAAATGAGGTAAATAAAAATATGTGATTAAGTAGTTTTTTTTATAACACATTAACAAGTGAATTACAAAAAAAATTGAGCCCCATCTCTAAGTGCCTGTTTAGACTCGGGTCAAACCGTCACCGAGAGCAAGTAAATTAAGCTTTATCAAAATACAATTATCTCTTAATGTGGTTGTCAGGAATCTAACTCTTATTACAATATGTAAATTAAAGAGTAGAGAGTACGGAGTCATTAATTTAACATATCAAAATCCCAATAGCCCAATCCCAATTTCAATGACATGAGGATAAGTCCCAAATGAGTGTTCTTGGGGTGTATTCCCAGTCTGCCATTTCTGAATTCCCTTCCAAGCTTTCAGGGAAGAACAAGAGAAGAAGAAGATCTGTGGATTCAAATACATATGGAAAAAAATCACAACTTTTTCTTCCCATCTTGAAATTCCCACCTCATGCTTCTTCTTCTTCTTCTTCCTCATCTGCTGCTATTTCTGGTAACTTTCATGCTCTCTTTCTCCTTTCATGTATTTCTCTGATAATGTTTTGAATACATAAATCTGCAATTTTTTCTGTTACTCTTTCTTTTCTTGGCTTTTCAAGATTATTATTATTCGGCATTTACGATTGTATATTATCTTTGGTTCAAGAAGTTTAAAAGAAGAAAAAAATGGACTAAGTATGTTTTGGGAAGTGTTTAATGTATGTGAAAGACCACCTTTCATGTTTAATTGGAGTGCCCTTCTTCTTTCACTTTCCCTCTGCGTACAAATTCTTCCAACTGATGGGCTGCTTTTTCTTCCTGTTTCTAAAAGGCAAAAGATACTTCTCCCTATACATTTCATCTTCAAAGTCTTTAAAGGAATAACACTAATTGTTTTGAAAACAAAAAGGTATTTTTTTTTTAATATTTTAAGTAATTCCATTCATTAGTTGAGTTCATTGATTTAAGCAAAAAAGTAGTTTATTGTTTTAGTATTCGAAAATGGGAAAATGTTTTCTTGGGAAAATCATTTCGTGTGTGCCAAACACTGCTTATGACCAACATTTTATAGAACAATGCAAGAGACATTAATATGATGTCCTGTTTTTAACACATATCTTCCCTTATGCTGTTTGGTATTTCCAGAGGAGATGTTTGGATCAAGACAAAAGCAGAAATTGCAGATGGCTGGAATAGACCAAGATGAATTGGTAGACCCATCTGTTCTGGCTGATCCGGACAGCTGTTTTCTTGAATTCAATGGAGTACAAGTGCACCACAAGGTATGTGATGCAGGCCAACCAAACGCGTCACAAGAAGGGATCGGCTCTCTGTCCCATTCCCATCAGAGTAAAAGAACAAACTTTCCAATGGTTCTGTTACATGGTTTTGGAGCCTCGGTGTTTTCGTGGGACCGGGCCATGAAACCACTTGCCAAGATTAGTGGCTCCAAAGTGCTTGCCTTTGATAGACCGGCATTTGGATTGACCTCAAGACCAAATCCAGTTGATAATAGAGCTTTGAATCCGTACTCTACGACGTTTTCTGTACTTGCAACACTTCACTTCATTGACTCCTTGGCAGCTGATAATGCAGTTCTAGTGGGGTATGTCCAATCTCCTTTCTTTGAGTTTTATATTGTTCTTGAAGCTTGACACAAGTTATTCTCCTATCATGCCCTATTTTGTTCACCAAACAGGCCCTTAGAGATATAAAATTTTAACATTGTTGACATGAACGAGTGACAAACTCATTTGAAGGATTTATGTGACATTTTAAGCTCGCCTTTTTAGAAAGTTGACAACTAAATCTGGACGAAGTGATTATGAAATTGTTTCCTTGTATGACTAATGAGACACCAGACACTCGGCGGGTTGTGTGGTAGCGGTCGAGGCATATTTTGAAGCACCCGAACGTGTAGCCGCTCTTATTCTTGTTGCCCCTGCAATTGTTGCATCATTTACCTCGCGTAAAGTCAACCAAAGTGCAGGAAAAAGTCAAACAGATAACAGGAACCCAGAGTTGTCGTCGTCGTCACCATGCAAAAAATGGAATGTGTTTGGAAAGATTTTGAGCATTTTATCAAAGTTTGCCAAACAAGTTGTGCAAATATTAACCGCCATTGTCAAAGGCATGGGAAAAATGCTCAACTCTCTATATAGGAAAGCTTTAGCCTCATTCTTGCGCTCTGCCATTGGTCTTGTGCTGGTAATGCGATCTATTGTGTATTTTTATTTGACTCTCATACTATTGGAGTTCAGAATTGAGCATTTCTCAGTCCATTTTAAAATCATCTTCCTTTTTTTTCAGATGAGAATGGTAATCAGTAAGTTTGGTACAGCTGCGGTTCGAAATTCATGGTATGATCCAAAGCAAGTAACAGAACACGTCTTACAAGGCTACACCAAGGTGAGGCTCTCCTTAACAACAGTAAGCACGTTTGGGCGTGCTTATAGGTCCTCACAGACAGCGGTGTCACTGTCTGTGTACAATGCCACCACTGTCTTTGATGACTAGAAACAGAGATGATGTCACCAATGGTGTCAACCGTTGTGTTAAAATAGCATTTTTCATTTTCTAACAGAACTGCATCCAGAGTAGCCCTAAAGTTCTTAGGTAATATGGTGTGTACGAAATGGTGTGGGTATGCAGTCATCTTGATTTGTGATACCACCAAATTTGCAGCCTCTGAGGGTGAAAGGATGGGATCGGGCGCTTGTTGAACACACAGTAGCAATGCTTACAGATTCAAAGTTGGGATCAAAGCCACCACTTTCACAAAGATTGAGTGAGATCGCATGTCCAGGTACTCACTTAACATCTCTCTCCCTCTCATTGAGGGTAAGTTTGGAATGTTGGATCCTGGAAAATACAAAACGGTTCTTTTGACACGGGTTTCAAGTGTCATGTTATGACACCGAGGCCCAATTATGCTCCGTTGGGTCCCACAGTGGGTCCCAACCCCGGATCGATGCAAAATGAGTTTGAACAAGCATCTAAAATGAACTAATGGAGCTTGAACCAATCTTTTGTTCTCTGTTGCTTGAAGTAGCCGCCTTATAGATCTCATTTGATGATGATGATGAATTGTGATGGTTCAGTTTTGATTGTCACGGGAGACAAAGACCGACTTGTCCCTGCTTGGAACTCAGAGAGATTGTCCCGAGCCATCCCCGGGTCTTGCTATGAAGTGATCAAGAACTCTGGTCACTTGCCCCATGAAGAGAGGGTTGAAGAATTTGTTTCCATTGTGGACAGGTTTTTTCAGAAGGTGTTTGGTGAAGTACAAGAACCACACTTACAAGTAGTTAGTTAGTTAGTTGCACAAATACTTCGTTCATTTGGTCCCGAAGGACCCTTGGGATGAGATTCATCCTAGTTGTAGACAAACTAGTATTACACCCCGTGCGTTGCACGGTTCGTATTAATGTTATAAATTTATATTGGTATTATTAAAAAAGTAAATAAATACACCATATAATGAAATATAATATTTTTCAATTATTATTTTTATTAAAAATCAAAGGAGGTTAGATTTATTTTTCTTGAAACGCCGATTTCATAACCTTTTAAAGCATAGAAATAAAAAGAGGAAAGATTTAAAAAAGGAGGAATGCTTGAATTTTATTAATAACTTTAATGTGTAGGCAATTAACATGGTGCAAATAAAATAAATAAGATTTAAATTTTAAAACTTTCATTATTAAGCACAAAAATACTCACGGTTTTAGGATTCTTGCAATATTTTTTTATTTTCCGCCACAGTAAAAAAATTAGTTACGCGTATAATAAAGAAAAAAAAGTTTCAAGAAGTTATTTTTTTTAACATCGCCCAATACTTGACATTAGACCTGGCAAAAATTGATCTGACCTATTTTTGACTCGAGATGCGACGTGAAAATACTGGGTTTTGAACAAAGGTTTTACTGACCGAACCCGAAGTTGACTGAACCCAAAATGACCCGCTAAAAATGGGTCAACCCGACCAGACCGACCCGCGAGTACATTTTAATATGAAATATAGTGTTATGAAATTTAGATTATAATTATATTTCTTTGCTTACTACTCATTTTTTGTATATAGATTTATACCATCATAACATTTTTTAATGGTGTCACATAATTATCTTACATTTTTTCAAAATTTCTACATATTTAATTTTCGTATTCGTAATATTGACACTACGTCATAGAAATTATTTAAAATTTCAAAAAAATTAATGAAACTCATAACCCGTTGGGTCAACCTGAACCCGATGACACTGGGGCATGAACATGTAGTTATCAACCCGAACCCGAAGTAACCCGAACCCAAGGTGACCAAACCTGAATCCGACCTGACCGACCGGTTTGCCAGGTTTACTGGACATATCAGACAAATAAAAAATGATTCGAGAAGGGGTCTTTTCGTTTAACATGCTAATAACTTCCAAAATTCTATGATTTCTATTTTTGGTAATTCTTTCTTTTCTTAATATGTTAAATATGTTTTTTCATGCATAAAAAATCCCCTTCAATTTTCGGGCATTAAGTATGTACGGATTTTATAAAGTTAATTTCTTTTTTTAAATAGTTAAAACGTCCGTATCATTTATATAGACAATGCTTTCCTTTTATAAAACCATATTATTTATATACACCGCTTTAAATTACACATGAATCTTATAAGGTATTTTCCTTCTATAGAATGAAATAAAGCCATATTTGCATGTTGCTTAATTATAATTACCGTACATTAAAAATGTAGATCAAAATCGATGGTCCATAAACGATAGTGTTTGGGCGGGAAATAGCATGAGGCATAATTCTCCTGCTTTTAAGAATAGGATAGTTTGTGCAAAACAACCATCAATTCTTAATCCTTGATTGGGTCTTGAACTATGAATCATTTCCGGAAATAGATTACCCTATTTTTAGGGTACTCTGCCACATGATAGGCGGTAAATTGAGTTTAGCCTTATAAATAAGGGAATGAGATCGGGCATTGTTTCATGTCATGCATGTTCTGGAGTCTAATGTAGACATTACCCTTTTGCACTAGTTCCTTAACGTTTTTAGTTAAACCCAACAAAAAGCATTGACAAAAACAAGTTTGGGGGTCAATCGTCCATAATATTCATTCGAATTTTTTTTTTTAAACCAAAAACACTCAATTCATTACTAACTCCAAAGTTTTGTACACACTCATCAGACTTCTAACCACAATCATCTACCTTACGTTTTTATACATAAAATAAAAATTTATATAGCTAATAACATAGTCTCTAGCCTCTTCTGCCGTACACCTGTTTTGGTGAGCTATTTTGTTTCTAGCTCTCCAAATACTATAAAGACAGGCTGCCCATATAGCTGCAATCTTCAACTTTGTGGTATTTCCCTTTCCTTTCATCATTGCATCTTCCATCTCCTCTACGCTATTAGCTTGGAACCAGATGTTATATCTATCAAACACTTGCTGCATCACCCACTTTGCATATTTACAGTCCCAGAATAGGTGCTTGGCCGTTTCATTCTCCTCTTCACACAATCCACATCTCATATCCACATGTAGGAATCTCCCCAATCGATCTTTAGTCTGCAGTTTTCCACGCATGTACAGCCATAACACTACCTGAAATTTGGGTGGTGTGAATTTATTCCACACCCATTTTGTCCATTGTGGTTTAGCTCCTTTAGCCTGGAGCCAGTTATACCCCTCCTTCACTTTGTAGTCTTTGCTTGTTGGCATTGGTCTAAAAACCTCTCTAACTTTGATCATAGCTTTCCAATATTGGCATGAATCCTTTCTAGGTAGATAATTCCAGAAATCAGCCCCTCTAATGTACCTATTATGGATCCATTTAACCCATAGTACATCCTTTTTATTTGCAATGTTCCAATTCAGCTTCATGACTATGGCCCTGTTCCAGTTGATTATGTTTTTCAGTCCCAGCCCTCCATAATTTCTTCTCTGACATACCTCTTCCCATTTCACCAAAGGAGTTCTTTTATAGTCACTGGAGCTGCCCCAAAGAAAATTCCTGCAAATTGATGTCACCTTCTTTATCACTCCTTTTGGGATAATGAAGATCCTTGACCAGAACTTGTAATGATTCCCATCAACACTGAGTTTATAATTCCGATTCTAGCTGCATATGAGAAATGCCTTGAACCCCAAGCTCCTATTTTTGTTGTAATTTTCTGTACCAATGCTTCACAATCACTTGCTGATAGCCTGGCCGCCGTAATGGGGCTGCCCAGATATGTGAATGGCAGTGTTCCCATTTTCATTTTAGTAATCTTCAGTAATTCTTCCTTAATCTGCTCATTAATGCCCCCATTCATTCAAAATTTAACTTCTTATTTTTCTTTTGTCCTAAAATAAATTTCTTATTTCTTTTAGGAAAAGTATTGAGTGGTTCACTTTTTTTTTTTTCTTTTGTATAAATTTCAAGCACAAATTTTATATTCTTAGAATTTTATAGTAAAAGTAAAAAATTATGAAGAGGTGGGTTCAACGAGGAAGAAATTTGCCTACATATTCCCTAAGGATCAGTCCCATCCCCGAGGGCTCTCTGAGCCAGACGATCACTGAGAAGAGATAAATTGAAATTTAATCACAAATTGGCGACAGGGAGTGGAATTGCGGTACTTGCAAAGACCCTATGCTTAGCATAGTTGTCTTCCAGCGCAATTGCCATGAATCAAACTCGAGTCTACCCCTTGACACTCTCTACCTTTGTCAACTGCATAATGCCCACAGGCTGCCTACATATTCTTTGGTCGGACGGAAGCTCCACATGTCTGCTAAATTTCAACCCCCACCTGTTTTACTTATTTTTATGTAAAAAATGTCTTATTTCAACTACTCTATAATACTACGTAATGTGTTCCAATTCTTCCAAACAAGTTGAATATGTTAAATTTAGTTAAATAAACAAATAACTTCAAATATATTTATATTTAAGATTTTTAATGGTTGTATGTGTACCTTATTAAATTTGAAAGGTGTACAATTGCACCAAGGGAAATACTTAGTTCACAAGCACAATCGCCACAACTTCACAAACTTACTATGTGTAAATTCTATTAAAAAAAATTAAATAGTCTAAAATAATTTTAAAATGAGAATTTAAACACAAATAGTAAGTTTGTGACCACGTTAGTGAACGTAGCATTGCTCTTGTACAAAAGACACTGGTTTAACACTTAATTTTGGATCAATAATTATTATGCACGCAATCGGGAATTCGGGAAGGGTTGGGTCGGCAAGTTCTCTAATCCATACCTGGTCCGACTCATCTCATGTTTGGATTTAATTTAACCGAGTCGGGTTCAGATAAAAAAAATTCAGTTCGGATTCGAATATTTTAAGGTCAATTCGGGTAGGATAGGATTGACATTCCTGGACTAAATCAAATACTCCATAGTGGAGTAACAAGCATATAGGGAGTGCTTCATATTCCTATAGAATTATGGAGATCAAAGAAAAGCTTAGCTATATACATGTGTGCCCTTTATCAAAGCCATTTCTGGCTAACATTTTTACCCAACTGAGCAATCTCCATTTGAAAGCCGAGTGGTTACGGTGTACATCATTGCGGTGGATCCGAGGATGTCATCTCCAAACCCACATGCTCTGAAGAATGGCCTGATGAAAATGTATAAAAACAGAACGGTTTATAAGACGATGCATGCCAAACCTTACACCCAAAACAGGAGGGAAATAAATGAAGAGACCTAAGTGCAAAAATGGCACGATCATCCAAGACAGCGCTTTGAAGATCGTACAAGTAGTAGAATAATATATTTTTGGGAAAATTCATGCCAATACTACATGAAATCTGAGACTTCACGCGAATACTCCAAGATTGTTAGATTATCATCAGCATCTAGGAAATTCAATAATACTTTTACAGCAATACTCACAAATTACATATGATTATAGATAATCCTCAAGAATTGGAGAATCCAGATTCCAGACAACAATGACAACAATAAAAATAAACCCAATAAATTCTTACAAAAATTGAGTTTGGTGAGGGTGTGTGCATGTATCCCACTTGACAAGAGATGGTTTTCAAGAGACTTCCAACTCGAGCACAATAGTAGGCACAAAGAAAACACATCAGTACAAACTAAGTACAAACTAAGCAGGAGCACACACACGTACAAGCTGTACACAATCACTAACAACAAGACCCAAAAATCATGTAAACTATAAGTTCTTTTAGGCGCTGGTGAGAATTAAGCAATCTTGGAGTATTCATGTAAAATCTCAAATTTCTAAGAATATTGATATTAATTTTTCTTATTATTGAAAAACAAAAATTAGCAATTTTTTGCACCTTTAAATGCCCAAGTTCACACGTTTAGATATCAAACTCATTGAGGTTCATTAGTAATCCATCTTTCATATCTTCAATTGAATATATTCTTGCATAGGCGCCAAACTCTCTTTGGGCACCAATGTTTTTCTTCCGCTAATCCTAGATAGGTGTTAGGCCGCGGGCTCTAAGGTGGTGTATGAAGCTTCTTACATCATCAAATATCTGTTATGTGGAAACTAATGTACTTTGTTTGTGCGTTTGTGTTGGAACATGGAACTGAGTGTCTTTTGGAAATTTCCCCCCTACTTCCAAGTATGGAGGAAAATCCGTGCACACACTCTACCCACACCATACTTTTTGTCAAATCTTAATAGGTTCATTGGTGTTGTATGTGGAACCTGATAAAAATGCAGAAATATAAAAGAAGTCAATATATAAATGTAGAACTTACATCTCTACATCAGAGCAGAGAGCAGCTATATCATATATGCCTTTATCTGTAAGCATCCTGCAATGAGAAAATGAGCGCAAGGAGTCATATTTCATTTGCAAAAGAGCAGTTATTGGAGAGCAAATCCTGTTGTCATTTATTAGTAATCCAAGCACTGGAAGCTGATCTATAACACACAGATACACTATCATTCAGCATGGGTTAGAGATTAACATAATACTGCAAATTCAGAGAATACCAACCTAACTATTTTTTGAACTATCCTCTTGCCGATTCCCCTCCGTCGTAATGAAGGAATAACCTGCAAATTACTGAAAGTGAATCACACAAATACCCGTGACAATAACAGCTCGGTTTCTACAGACCGTAAATCAACCGTCATGATCCGAAACAAAGATGTTGAGAGTAGGATGTGTGGTCGTACGTGAATAGATAAGATTCAAACACGAACCGAACTTCACTCTGAAACCATGCTGGAATTTTAATGGGCCGAGTGAATTGGGTGGAGTGTTGGGTGAGATTTAACCACGTTCCCATATGAAAAGTCCAGATCCACTTTCTAAACAAATGTTTAATCCAAGTGCTTCACCTTTCTTTATATGGGAGTGTATAGTTCTTAGAGTTGATTTCTAGTGCTTAATGTGTTAGTCTTTTGTTTATGGTTCGATTGTTACACACACACACTGTCTCTACTTTTAGTGAGATTTTATGGGTTTGTTATTGTTGTATGGAATTGGATTATACAATGTTGTGTTGGCAAAAGCTCTATATTTCCTTCTATATACTGAGTAAATATTGGATAAATCCATATTTATATACGGAGTACTTAGTTAAATTGCCATGGTTCACAAAAAAGCATTTTAAAAAAGGAGTATCAAATTATCAAAACCAGTGGGTAGATGATGATCGTACCATTACATCGTAGATGGAAGCAGCTAGCCCAGAATCCGAGACGGCGCGACCAAATCCAACCAATTTTCCGTTGGACGGCGTCATCGCCCGAGCCAAATCTCCTCCAAAAGCCGCCAAACGGGAGCGAATCTCGGGCTGGACAAACACCGCGACGACGACGGAGCTGTGGAGGAGAGCTTTACGGAGCTTGTTGGGGTCGACGGGATCCACTCGGCCATCGACGTCGAGTTTGGGAAAGCGGTTGCAAGAGTGGTTGCAGGCGGAGTATAGCTCGCCGACGCAATGGATGTCAACGCCGTTTAGGTTTGTAGATATGAACACTTGCGGCGGATTTGAGCGGATTCCGGAGATGATCCGCCGCGTTCGTTGGAATTTGGGAGGAAGATAACCGCATTGCACGGCCAAAGACATTGAGCTTTTTATGTTCCAACACTTTTTTATTTAAAAATTACTCCGTAATATATTTTGTCAAATTTTTTTGGGTCGAGCAAAATAAACCTTGAATTTCAATTAAAAAAACATTATTATGTATATTTATATAAAAATATTTTTATTATGCCCCGGAGTATTTATTTAGTTGATAACTTTCATAATTTTATTTAATTATACTAATACGCAATACAAATTGAGATTATCTAGTCAAATTCGAAAAAATCAAACTTGATATATATGAAAAATGCTAAAGTAACAAAAACTCCAGTCACAAAATACACAAACTTTTCATTTGTGCACCTTACCAAGTGAATAAAATAATGATAAATAATTAAAAAGTGCACATTTAAATACATAAATAGTAAATTTGTGTATTTTGTGACCAAAATGTTTGTGACTCTAGCACTTCTCGACATATACACATTAAAACAAATGTAGTATTAGTATATTTGTTCAATTTGAAAGAATAAGTACTTGGTAATATTGATAAGTCGGGTGTATCGTAAATAGATTTGTATTCATATTTTAAAGTTATGGATTTTCGTTCCTAGTTTTAATATATTCATGGATTATGAATAAAGTCATGCAATTTCTATTCACATTTCAATGTCAATGACATTTTGTGAATGAGTTTTGTTGATTTATAAAAGAAAAATGCAAGGGTACACCAAAAGCGTACCCCATATGTTCCCCACCCCCTCCTTCTCTACTAAAAAGATAAAATACTTTAAAAAAAATAAGTAAATAAAAATCAAATAAAAATGTATGGTAGAGAAGGAGTGGTGTACATTTGGGATACACCTTTTGGTGTACCCCTAGCATTGCTCTTTATAAAAACATCTATGCTGGAGTATAGGTGCACCAAAAAGTGTATTTCAAGTTGTATCCCTAAAGAAATGCATCGATATTTTAACAATGTATACTGGCACAAAATATTAGGTTAATTAAAAAAAATTATACTAATATTCTTTTGTCAATGTAAATCACCACACTAGCATCGCACTAGGACAAAATGTCGGTGTATGTCTTTGGGATACAAAACGGAGTACAAGTTTTGGTGTAGAAATAGCTTAATCCTTATTAAAAATCTATAAATTCTTATAGTTATTTATAATTTTTTTGATATCAAAAATAAAAATATATACTCAAAATTATAAAATAAAAATAAATCATTCTAATGAGTATATCATCTATATCAAATTGACAATAATAAAAATATTTCTTTCTAGCAAAACAAATAATAAAGAAATTCAAGGAGTAATTATTTTCATTGTTATCATCCTATATCAATGTTGTCTATAAAATTCAGAAAAGCAATTGTCATTTTCTAGCCTTTTGCATTCTAGATTATCTATTTGAAAATCAACTCATTCCTGTTTTGCTTATTTGATGATTATCTAGAACTATTTCATCCAAAATTCTTTTGTTCTATTTTTTAAATAATATTAATTAAACAAAACTTTATACTCCCTCTGTCTCAGACTCCCAGAGTATTTGTCCACTTTCATTTTTACACACATCATTTAATACACTTCTTTAATCCATTTTATCTTGTAATTTGTATGTTAAAAAATTATAGAAATTATATATTAATAATCTATATGTTAAGACAAATCAAACTTGACCACACACGACTATATTTAGGCCACATTGAGAGAATTTGATTAGTCAAAGTGCTTAGATAAACAATTCCAAAAGTCAAAAGTGGACGAATATAGCGGGACGGAGGCAGTATTTAAAAGAACCAACATGCTTTGGGATGTAAAAAATCAGAAGAGTGAAAAAAGTAATAAACACAGACACACTTAAGCAAAAAAATAGAATACATGTGTGAAGCCAGTAAGAGGGTGAATATTGTATGTGTTGATATAGCGATGAGTAAATGTTGATTTAGAGTGAGGAACGTAAAATCTTAATGAGCAATGCTAGGGGTACACCATTTTGGTGTACCCCAAATGTACACCACCCCCTTCTCCACCACACATTTTTATTTGATTTTTATTTACTTATTTTTTTAAAATTTTTTTTTCTTTTTTAGTGGACAATAAGGAAGTGGGGAACATATAGAATACACCTTTGGTGTACCTCTAGCATTTTTCAATCTTAATAGATAGCCTCAAGAGTGGTGGGACAGAGAATTGGGACTTGGGAGGGATAGAAAGAAACCAAAGCCTAAAAAAGGGATGGGACATGGGAAGGGACGGGACAGTGAAAGGGACAAAGGAAGTACATAGTAACCCCCCCTTTTCAATTTAACATCTTTTGCGCGTGGGTAAAAAGGCAGGATTGCCTAGCGGGTACCATTCCTTCCCTCCGTCACAAAATGTACTTTCTTCCTAGTTAAATCATGAAATTTAGCTAAAATATTTTTATTTAGTTTATTTGATTTTAAGTATAAGATTAAAAAAATTAAACTTATATACATTTAAAAACTATATAAAAAATGCTACAAAAAGAAGGTGATATGACTATTTTCTTTATTAAATAACAAATGAAAATAATTATAAAAAAAATATTTCAACTTTGATCATGTGAATAGTGACTTAGAAGAAAACTCTTAAGATAGAATGAGCATTTGATTGTATAAAAAAGTATTTATATTTTTAAAAATTACATTAAAATTTTTACAAAATAAGCAATTACATAAATATTTTATGTTAGTGGGCAGTGGCGGATCAAGAAATACAAATGACCGAGGACACTAATATAAGTTGGAATTCTTGTTTTCGAATTCTTTTTTTTACATAATTTTAATTTTGTTTTGGAATTATATTTTTTTCATTGGGGGCACACATATTTTTTCATTGGGGGGTTAAACGTTCAATTTACTATTTATATTTTTTACTCCTCCGTCCCACTGTCTTTGTCCACTTACCTTTGGGCACACCATCCAATGCACTTATTTAATCCATTTTATCTTGTAATTTGTATATTAAAAAATTATAGAAATTATATATTAATAATCTATATGTTAAGACAAATCAAACAAGATCACACATGACTATATTTAGGCTTACACATTGAGAGAATTTGATGAGTCAAAGTGCTTAGATGAACAGTTCCAAAAATCAAATGTGGACAAAGATAGTGCGACGTAGGTAGTAATTTTTACAAAATATATTCAAAAAAACTCTCTGGGGGCGAAACTCCAATAATAGCCATGTGGATCCGTCAGTGTTTATACTCTCTTCGTCCATATTTTGATTACAAATTGAAAATTACGAGGTAGAATGCCACGAATTTTGAAATTGTTTTATTTTCAAATTGGCACATCAATACAAAATAAAAATTACGTATTAAAAAACTATGTCAAAAGTTCTACTCCCTCCATCCCAAATTATAATGCCTGTTCACTATTCACAGGGTCAAACTTTATTCACTTTTTTTCTCTATTTTCGTTAGCAATTTAATAAAATAAAATACTATTGTCACTACTAGTTTTGTAGATCTTTTGATGTAGTTTTTTAATATGAAAATTTTATTTTTTAATTCTATGCCATTTGTCATATAAAATGGTTTGAAAATAATTTCAGTCAAACATCGTAAACTGAAACAGGCGTTATAAAATAGGACGGAGGGAGTACAAAACAAGAGGTAACGAAAATATTTTATTTTAACAAATAATCAATGAAAACACACAAACAAATAAAAGTTGTCGAGAATAGAGAGAAAATAAAATTGTAATCAAATTTGGGACGGATGGAGTGTTGCGCAATTAGCAAACGCAAGAAGTGTAATAGGGTAAGACCCGAGTTTGATTTTTAGCAAATGTTTTGGAAAGTAACTATGCTGGTCTATGTAAGTACCAAATGCAGGCTCTACTCTTTGTCACCAATTTACGATCAAAGTCTAATTTAATTATTTTTAGTGATCGTCTGACCAAGTCTTAAGAGGCTCTTGGGGATAGAGCTCATCCTTCCCTTTTATCAGCATATGAGTGGATTGAGCAGAGAGTACTTAATACAATAGAGCAAGAAAAAAAAGAGTACCAGAAGGGCCAGTCCAAAATGAATGTTCTTGGAGTGTATTTCCAGTCTCCCTTTTCTGAATTCCCTTCCAAACTTTCAGGGAAGAACAAGGGAAGAAGAAGATCTGTGGAGCCAAATGCATATGGGAAAAAATCAAAAGTTTTTCTTCCCATCTTGAAGAAATTCACACCTCATGCTTCTTCTTCTTCCTCATCTGCTGCTATTTCTGGTTACTTTAAAGCTCTCTTTCTCCTGTCATGTCCTTCTCTGAATCTCTGATAATGAGTTAAATACATACTCCATTCGTCCCAGAATTGATTTCCATTTTTTTGGACTCAATAACTTTTGTTTGTTTGTATATTTTCATTGATTATTTAATAAAACATATTAATATTTTTGTAACCTCTTATTTTGTAGAATATTCAACGCTATTTTTTAATACTCCCTCCGTCCCAAAATATTCACAACATTTGCTTTTTCAGTAGTCGCGGGAACTTTTGTTTATTTCTAAGTTTTCAATGGTTATTTGATAAAATAAAATATCCTTGACACCTCTTATTTCGAAGAACTTTTCATGTAGTTTTTTGATATGTAAATTTTATTTTTTATTTCTATACCAATATGTAAATAAAATAAATTGAAAAAGTTTGATATTTTGCCTTGGAAATACAAATGTAGCAAATATTTAGGGACGGTCCGGACGGAGGTAGTACGTAGTATGTAATTATTCATATACCACTTTTAAGTAAATTAATTTTTTAAAAAGCAAGGTTTTGCATCGCAAATAAAGAATTATAATCTAATTTGGGACAAATGGAGTATATAAATTTGCAATATGTGTTGTTGCTCCTTACGTGTTTGGCTTTTCAAGATGATTATTGCATTACTCTCTCCTATTAGAGTACTATGTTCACTTCTGGTTGCTTGACATGATATTTTTTGATCTGATGTGACTAAATCTAAATTTGATTCAAATTAAACTTAAATTATTACGTACCATAATTAAATAACTTTTAAAAATTATATTTAGTTATTTATTTATTTCCTTGTATGTATTTATTTCCTTGTAAGTAATCCTTACCATAGTTGTATTAGGAAACTTGCTTGTATATATACTTTGTGAGTACTCGATGGAAATCAATCCAGTCTTTCACAAAATTCTACATGGTATCGGAGCCAATTCCCTGAGAATAGCCGAAACCCTAGGCTCGCCTCTTTTCACGGTGCCGCCACCGTAATTGCACCGACCGCCTCACGACGGTCGTCTCTGCCGCCGGCTCACGTCGTTTAAATTCTCGCCGCCTCACGTCGGCGATCCTCTTACACCGGCTCACGTCGGTTGCTTCTTTTCTTCCGCCGCCATGACAGCCGAAACTCCCAAAAAGGTACGGCTTATTCACGATCCCACCTCTCCCTACTACATCCATCCGTCCGAGCGTGCGGGTAACTCGTTGACAAAGCATCTTCTCAAGGGAGACAATTATGACGTTTGGGAGAAAACAACTGTCAACGCCCTTGAGGGGCGCAGTCGCGCCGGTTTTCTTTTTCCTTCAGGATTTCCCAAACCCACCGATGAACATGAACTTGCCGCTTGGAAAGCTAATAATTCTATTATTTGTTCGTGGATTTGCAATAGTGTTGATGAGCACATTCAACCATCTATTATCTCTCATAAAGTGGCTCATGAATTGTGGTTGGATCTCAAAACCCGTTATGGGGGTTCGAATGGTCCTCGGGTTCATCAATTAAAATTTGAGTTCCAATCTCTACGTCAAAAGGGTCAAACTGTGGTTGGCTACTACAACCAATTTATGACCCTGTGGAACAAGCTATACGGATCTGTGGACCCAACGTGCGGTTGCCGTTGTGAGGCAGCGGTCTTGATCCGCGCACGTGAAGAACAAGAGAAAACCCACCATTTTTTGCTTGGCCTCGACGACGAACAATTTGGCCACATCCGGTCTCAGATTATCGCCACGGAACCTGTTCCAGATCTCCATCGTGCCTATGCATTGGTTGTCCAAGAGGAACGCCATAAAAGCATTGTTCGAAGCCGCGATGACCGCACGGACGCAGTCGCTTTTGCCATGCAACGTNCCCACTACTCATGTACTCATTGTGGCAAAGATGGTCACTCGGTGGATCGTTGCTACCAAATCCACGGGTACCCCCCTGGGAAAGGCCGTGGCCGCGGCATTCCATCGGGTCGCGGGGGTCGTGGCGGTGGCCGTACAACGCCAGGCGGTGGTGGCGCTACTGTGCGTGCGCCTGGCCGTGGGAGTGGAGCCGCGACAGGGGGAGCACATGCGGCTACGAGTTCCAATGCTTTGGGGCTCACACCTGATCAGATGACACGTCTACTTTCCATGCTGGATACTCCGTCTTCTGAGAAGGATGCCGGCAGTAGCGGAGACACCTCTTCCCGTGAGTGGCTTATCGATAGTGGTGCCTCTCATCATATGACTGGTAATATTGCTTTTTTAACTGATGTGGTCTCTATGCGCCCGTGTGTCATCACACTACCGAACGGCACGCACACCACTGCCACTCGGCGTGGCCGTGTGCGTTTATCGCCCGAGGTGGTGCTTCGGATGTTTTACTGGTTCCTAACTTGCAGTGCAATCTTGTTTCTGTTGGATGCCTTACACGTGATAATTCCTGTCTTGTTATTTTTAACAAAAACTGTTGCGTCATACAGGATTGTGTCACGAAGATGGAGATCGGACGGGGTGATGCACACAACGGAGTGTTTCTGTTTCGTTCGTCCTCCACTGCGTTAGCTACCCAAGTGGATCCTTCCCTTCTTCACAAACGTTTGGGACATCCATCCACTCAAGTTTTGTCATCTCTTATTCCTTCTGCTAGTAGCTCTAAACTTAAGTTGTTACAAACCTGTGAAATTTGTTTCCAATCTAAACAAATTCGTAGTTCTTTTCCTCTCAGTTCCAATAAAGCAAGAAGTGTTTTTGATTTGATTCATTGTGATTTATGGGGACCTTATACCTCGTGTTTGGCTACTGGTGCACACTACTTTCTTACCATAGTGGATGATCACTCTCGTGCTGTTTGGGCTTATTTGATTATTGATAAATCGGAAGTGTCTAGCTGTTTGAAACATTTCTTTGCCATGATTAAGACCCAATTCCATAAAACAATTAAAATTGTCCGTTCTGATAATGGCACAGAATTTGTCAACCAGGACCTCCGGTCTTATTACACAACTTTGGGTGTCGTTGTTCAGACCTCTTATGTTGGTACTCCTCAACAAAACGGTCGGGTGGAACGTAAACATAGACATATTTTAAATGTTGGCCGATCTCTTATGTTTCAAGCCCAGTTACCTATTGAATTTTGGGGGGAATGTGTACGTACTGCAGTATATTTGATTAATCGTACCCCCAACAAAATACTTGGTGGCAAGTCCCCTTTTGAAGTTCTTAACCATAAAGCCCCTGATCTTAGTCATCTCAGAATTTTTGGGTGTTTATGTTTTGTTCGCATTAAAACCACTAACAAATTTCATCCTCGTAGCACCAAGTGTATATGATCTTGATAACCATCGTTTCTTTCACACTCGGGATATTGCTTTTGACGAGCGCACCTTCCCGTTTGCCACCCATCGCACGTCGGCCGAACCCCTACCCCCATCCCATACGCCGATTTTCCCGAAATGCCCCAGCCCGCGTCATCCCTGGTCACTCCAGTCGGTCCATTGCCGGCGTCTGTTCCCGTCGAGCAGCCCGACCAGCCGATCCCAGGGGACGCACAGCCTTCCGATTCCAACCCAAGCCCTTCCGATACAGCCGTCGTTCCTTCTCTTCGTCCGCAACGGCAGCGTCGTCAGCCCTCCCACCTTAGTGATTACATCATCAATTCTGTTCAATCTAACGCTCCGATGTGTTCGCCGCCTCCCCGGTCCTCTTCTTCAGGTACACATTATCCTATTGCCAACTTTGTTTGTTATCATAAATTACATGACAGGTATCGTGGTTTTCTTGGCGCCATCAGTCCGCACTTTGTTCCCAAAAATTATGCTGAGGCTGTTCCTCATGCAAACTGGCGGGCGGCTATGCAAACGGAGCTATTGGCGTTACAGAACAATCAGACTTGGGATATCACTACTTTACCACTTGATCGGACAGCTTTGGGGTGCCAATGCGTCTTTAAGACCAAATTCAACTCTGATGGCACTAAAGAACGGGACAAAGCACGACTGGTTGTCCTTGGCAACCATCAGACTTTGGGGGTTGACTACACAGATACTTTTGCTCCAATGGCAAAAATGGGTTCGGTTCGAGTCTTGCTCTCTGTTGCCGCGGCACGAGGGTGGCATGTGCATCAGCTTGATGTTAACAACGCTTTTCTTCATGGTGATCTGATTGACGAGGTTTATATGCGTTTGCCACCTGGTTTTGCACATCTTTATCCGGGAAAAGTGTGTCGTCTGCAGAAGTCTTTATATGGATTGCGTCAATCACCCCGCAATTGGTTCGGGAAACTTACCTGTGCTCTCAGGCGCTATGGCTTCCGCCAGGCTCATGCGGATCATACTCTTTTTATTCATCGTTGTGGACCGGATATTTTGGTTGTTCTAGTCTATGTTGATGACATTTTGGTTGCAGATAACAATTCCACCCTTTGTGCTTCGTTCAAAGCTTATGTGCATCGATGTTTCAATCTTAAAGATTTGGGGCCCTTGTCATATTTTTTGGGTATTGAGTGTGCCCGTTCTGCGACGGGTATCGTTCTCTGTCAACGCAAGTATGCTCTAGACATCCTCAATGAAGCGGGTCTCTTGGGATGTAAACCAGCCAATACTCCTATCACTCCAAATCACGGGTTGAGCCGTTCTACCAGTGCCGAGCTGCGTGATCCAGCTCAGTACCGCCGGCTTGTGGGTCGCTTGATATATCTGACAATTACCAGGCCCGATCTCTCTTACTCGGTGCATGTCTTGTCCCAGTTTATGCATGCCCCACGGCTCGACCACATGGACGCCGCCCGACGTGTTCTTCATTATCTAACGGGTCATCCGGGACAGGGGATTCTTCTACGCAGTGATAGTTCTCTTCAGTTATCTGCATATTGTGATTCTGATTGGGCTTCTTGTCCACTTACCCGACGTTCTGTAAGTGGCTATTTTATTCTCCTCGGTGGTTCTCCGGTCTCCTGGAAAACTAAGAAGCAAACCACCGTGTCCCGGTCCTCGGCGAAGGCTGAGTATCGCTCCATGGCTAATGCGTGTGCAGAAATTCGTTGGATTCGGGGTCTTCTTGGGGCACTTGGCGTGACCCCTCCTACGACGCCACGCTTGTTTTGTGACAACAAATCTGCTTTATTTATTGCTGCTAATCCTGTTTTCCATGAGCGCATGAAACACATTGACATTGATTGCCATATTGTTCGAGAGTGTGTACAGCGCGGTGAACTTGTCACATCTTATGTTCCTACTCGTCTTCAGACTGCTGATATCTTCACTAAAGCCCTAAACAGACCCCTATTTTCGTTCTTATTATCCAAGTTGGGCATTTGTGATCTCCATGCTCCAACTTAAGGGGGAGTGTTAGCGTATATTTAGTTATTTATTTATTTCCTTGTAAGTAATCCTTACCATAGTTGTATTAGGAAACTTGCTTGTATATATACTTTGTGAATACTCAATGGAAATCAATCCAGTCTTTCACAAAATTCTACAATCTATATTATAATACAATCAATAACTAGATTTATTAGAATTATGAAATAAAAAAATCAATTCATATATACATTAGAATAAAAAATTGTTGACAATAACTTTTAATTCAAAAAATTAATTATTTACTTTTTAATATTCAACATATGGAAGAGAGAGTATTATTATTAAAATATCCAAGCATTAGAAAATAAGAATGTTATGCTACAAAATATTACATTTTTTCTGCATCTTAAATACTCCGTAATAAACTTATACTACAAAATACGAATATAAAATTTTTATGCTACAAAATACTAAATTTTTCCTAAATTTAAAATAATAAATTAGAATTTTATATGTATAGTTGTCACGAGCAGTATCTCCAAATCCTAGTGTTATAATACTTTGGTGGTGAGTGTGAAAACCAAAATTTTCACATGGTTATATCATGAGCACTTCTTTCGAATCTGACATTGATAAATGTGAAAAGACTATCAAATGATACGTTGCAATAATAATAATAATCCATGGTGAGTGTTATCCTTTTTCATGACTAAACATATTGACTTCATCTATCCTTTCCTACAAGTTGATAACAATAGTACGATACAACAACAATAATAATGCTCCATGATAATTATGATTGGATTCAATCAGATTGGATTTGATCTTAAAATAAATTGAACAGGTGGCAACCTTACTCTCTTCATCCCAAAATAAGATTTTTAGTTACTATTTACATGTCAAACTAACTCTATTTTTTTAATACATTTTCATCGATCATTTGATAAAATAAGATAACCTTGTCATCACTTGTTTTGTACTCTTTCTGATCCTAAATACTTTTTCTGTTTTGACTTTTTTTGGTCAAACAGTGACACATTTTGACTGCAAATTTTGAGAAAAGTATATTTAATTATAATATAAATTCAATGTTATTGAGTTAATCTTAGGATATATATCAAATTTTTATATCATTTATATATTTAGATTATGTTTAATTTATGAAGAGTGTTACTGATTGACCAAAAAAATCAAAACAAGAAACCTTTTTTTTTGGACCACATGGAGTACAACTTTTGATGTTTTTTATATAAAATTTTGACCTTTTAACTCTATACCAACTTTCACTTGCATTGATTTGTAAATAATTTAAGTCAAACAAAAACTTTATTTTTGGACAAAGGTATTGTTGTTGTTGTGCTCCCTCCGTCTCGAGAAACCTTTCCACTTTCATTTTTCACTCGTCTCAAAATACTTCCACTTTCACTTACAATCTCCATTTTATCGATACTAATTCCAAAATATAACCAATATCGAGTATATCAAATCATACATATTCACTCTTAAGCTGCACATCACATCCTATCATACCCTACAATAAAGTAAGAGCAAATTTGAAAAGTAACACCAAGTTACACATTCTTTAAATCACATTTTTAATCGGAAGAATTTCATAGGACAAAGGGGGTAAATTAAAAATGAACACAAAAATTATCAATGATAGAAAATATCAAAACCTTACGAGCCCGGGTATTAGGTCCCTACACAAAAAACTGTGTTTGGACTTGGATTTTCTGTGGTATGGCCAGCCCGCAAACTTGAGGGGCGGGCTCGGTTTTTATGTTAAAGGCTCATTCATTGCCCCCTCCACCGCTCCAACTAGCATTTTCGTTTTTATCTCTATTTCAAGAACCAAACATGGTGTAAGTGATTTAAATGGACTAAAAGTATGTGTTGGGAAGTGTTGAATGTATGTACAAAAATGACTTTCATGTTTGGAGTGCCCAAATTCTTCCTACTGATAGACTGCATTTAAAGGAAATACACTCATTTCTCAAGCTGCTCGAACTTAATTGTATAGTTTTCTTAACATGTTTTTCCCCTCATGGTGTTTGGTACGTATTTCCAGAGGAGATGTTTGGATCAAGACAAAAACAGAAAATGCAGATAGCTGGAACAGACCAAGATGAATTTGTAGACCCGTCTGATCTGGCTGATCCGGACAGTCGTTTTTGTGAATTCAATGGAGTACAGATACACCACAAGATACGTGATGGAGGTCAACCAAACGTGTCACTAGAAAGGATCGGCTCACTGTCTCATTCCCATCAAAGTAAAAGAATCACAAACTTTCCAATGGTTCTGTTACACGGCTTTGGAGCCTCGGTTTTTTCGTGGGAACGGGCCATGAAACCACTTGCCAAGATCAGTGGCTCCAAAGTGCTTGCCTTTGATAGACCGGCGTTTGGATTGACCTCAAGACCGATTCCGGTTGATAACAGAGCTTTGAATCCCTACTCTATGATGTTTTCTGTACTTGCAACACATTACTTCATTCACTGCTTGGCAGCTGATAAGGCAGTTCTAGTGGGGTAAGTTTTATCTTGTTCTTGAGACTTGACACACTTGTATCTCAGATTTTAGAACCCATATCATACCCTCTTTCACTCACCAAATGGGCACTTACAGATAAAAACATAAGCATTGTTGACATGAATGAGTCACAAACTTGGTTCAAGTACTTATTTGGCATTTTAAACTTGTTTTTTTAAGTAGACAAGTAAATCCGGAGGGAGTATGAAATTTGTTTACTTACATGCACAATAAAGCTGAATTGTTTGTTACAAAACTAATAACATACCAGACACTCGGCGGGTGGCGGTGTAGCACTCGAGGCATATTTTGAAGCACCCGAACGTGTAGCCGCTCTTATTCTTGTTGACCCTGCAATTGTTGCACCATTTACCTCACAGAAAGACAACCGAAGTGCAGAAAATAGTCATATAAATAACAGGAACTCAGAGTCGTCCTTGTCAAGCAAAAAATGGAATGTATTTGGAAAGCTTTTGAGCATTTTAACAAACTTTGCCAAACTTGTTGCACAAGTAATAACCGGCATTGTCAAAGGAATGGGACAAATGCTCAACTCTCTATGTATGAAAGTTTTAGCTGCATTCCTGCGCTCTTCCATCACTCTTTGCCTGGTAATGAAATTTATTGTATGTTTTTTTTAATTTGAGTTGCATACTATGAACAAAACTTTGCAGCATAAATGCCTTGCATGTGTTTGTTTAAAATTGTCTTCCTTTTTTCCCAGGTGAGAGTGGTAATCAGTATGTTTGGTAGAGCTGTACTTCGATATGCATGGTATGATCCAACGCAAGTAACAGAGTACGTCTTAGAAGGTTACACAAAGGTGAGGCTCTCTTTAAGAACAGTGTGCTTATAGATCCTCTAAGACAGTGTCACTATAAGACAGTGTCACTGTGATGGCAGTCTCTGAGGACCAAAACACAGATGATCCCACCAGACACCCTTGGTGCCAAACGTGGAGCTAAAATAGCATTCTCATTTTCTACCAAAACCGCATCCGAAACCGCCCAAGTTTTTTTAGGTCATATGGTTTGTGAAAAATGGTGTGTGATTTTGATTTGTGATACCACCAAAATTGCAGCCTCTGAGGGTGAAAGGATGGGATCGGGCGCTTGTTGAATATGTAATAGCAATGCTTACAGATTCAAAATTGGGATCAAAGCCGCCACTTTCACAAAGACTGAGTGAAATCAAATGTCCAGGTACTCGTTAAACTTCTCTCTCTCTCTCTCTCTCATTGAGGGTTAGTTAGGAATGTTGGGTCCCGGAAAATATGATGAAAACGGAAAAAGACCGAGAAAGCTAAAAATATGATTCATGTTTTGTAAAAAAATAAAAACATATTTTAAGATTTCTTGATTTTTTTGTATAACAGAACATGTCGGTTGACACTGGCAGTTTTGGATGTTATATTATGACAGAGGGACCCTATAGCGCTCTATTTGAAATCCTACTCATGAAGTAGATCCTACCCCTACCCCTAAAAAACAGCCCCTTTGCCACCGGCCCTCCCTCCCGGGTTGATAAAATGCTACAATGACACTTGATGTCATAATATGACATTTAATGTGGGTGTCAAAAGATCCTTGCTCATAACAGAAATAGATTAGAAAAATGAGTTTGAACAAGCATCTAAAATGAATTACTGGGGCCTGAAACAATGTTTTGTTCTATGTTGATTAAAGTACCCTTATAGATCTCATTTGATGATGATGATGATGATGATGAATTGTGATGGCTCAGTTTTGATCGTCACGGGAGACAAAGACCGATTCGTCCCTGCTTGGAACTCAGAAAGACTGTCCCAAGCTATCCCTGGGTCTTGCTATGAAGTGATCAAAAACTCTGGTCACTTGCCTCATGAGGAGAGGGTGGAAGAATTTGTCTCCGTTGTGGACAGGTTTTTTCAAAAGGTGTTTGGTGAGGTAGAAGAACCACTCCTGCAAGTCGTTAGTTAGTTAGTTAGTTACACAAATACTTCGTTCAAGTGGTTGGTCCCGAGAGGGACCCTAGGGATGAGATTCATCCCTGGAAAATATTTCGTGCACAGCAACGACAATCAATTCTTAGTCTTTGATTGGGGGTTGAGCTACTGCACACTATTTCTAATGTTCAAATGCAAATACATTATTCTAAATTGCTCCCTGCCTTGTACCACTCAAGTCATTTCCAAAAAAGATTAAACTCATCCTATGGTACCCAGTCCCATGGTAGCAGGTAAATTGAGTTTCACCTTAGAAATAAGGAATAAAGGAATGGGATCTGCATTGATACTATAAGTGCTTCGTGACACATATGTTCCGCAGTCGAACCTAGACATTACCCTTTTGCACTAGTTCCTTAACCTTTTATAATTTGTAAACTTCAAAACAAAAAATATAATTTGGAGGGACAAACGTGCCAGGAGCAATGATGACAACATTTAGTCAAAAAAAGGTTAGCAGCAGGGAAATGTGAAAGATTATGAAGAGGTTGGGTCCACAGGAAGAAAATTTGCCTACACATTCTTCAATTGGAAGGAAGCTCCACTTGTGTGTTAAAAATAAAAACACACTTCTCGTTTAGAACGAATAAGGTATGAGTAATTGAGGACTCCATACAATGTAGGGAGTAGATTTCGAGTTCATTCCGGCCTCCGGGTATTAATTTACTTTAAGTTCGGGTCTAACTTAAACTGGTTGAATTCGGATATTTTATCCGATTTAGATCGAGATATTTTAAAGTTTAGTGGGTTCTGATTGGAACGTCATCTCTAAATCATAGAGTTAATGACAAAAAGTGGAGGAGCCAAGGAAGGTGAAGTGTTGTGGCATGCGACTTGAGACTATGGATGAAGACGTGAGAGTGTGACGAGACTTGAGAGATAGTGTTATAGTAAGAGCTTTGCACAAGCGTGGTTGGGATTTAGACTTAGAAGCTAACCAAAAATCATTATGCACGCCATCGGGAATTCGGGACGGGTTGGTCGGTTCTCTAATCCATACCCTGTCCGACTCATCTCATGTTTGGATTTAATTTAAGCGGGTCGGGTTCAGATAAATTTTTTTCACTTCGGATTTGAATGTTTTAAGGTCAAGCCGGGTTAGGATTGGATTGTCATCCTTGGACTAAACCAAATACTCTGCAGTAACAAGCATATAGTTAGGGCTTCAATGCCATTTTCTGCTGCAGTTTTTACCCAGCCGATCAATCTCCATTTGAAAGCCAAGTGGTTACGGGGTACATCATTGCGGTGGATCCCAGTATGTCATCTCCAAATCCACATGCTCTGAAGAATGACCTGATGAAAATGTATAAAAACAGAACGGTTTATAAGACAATGCATGCCAAACCTTACACCCAAAACAGGAGAGAAATAAATGAAGAGCATTCTTACGAGTTTAAATGCAAACATTGAGTATAATTATGAAATAGGCCAAGTACAGAATAGCACAATGATCCAGGGCAGCACTTTGAAGATCATACAAGTAGATTAATACTGTTTATTTCTAGAAAAATTCATGCCAATTCTATAAGAAATCTGAGACTTTACATGAATACTCCAAGATTCTATAATTATCACCGGCACTCTTAGAAATTCAATTATACTTTTACAGAAATACTCCAAAATTATCTAACCAAATGTTTAAGCCAAGTGCTTCACCTTTCTTTATATGGGAGTGTATAGTTCTTAGAGTTGAATTCTAGTGCTTAATGTGTTAGTCTTTTGTTTGTGGTTCGATTGTTTCTTCTTTGAGTTAGGAATCATCATAATCGAAATAATTAAGGTTACTCCGATTGTTGTGAGATTTTATGGGTTTGTTATTGTTGTATGGAATTGGATAATTTATACAATGTTTGCAAAAGCTCTATATTTCCTTCTATATACTGAGTAAACATTGGATAAATCCATATCGATATACTGAGTACTTAGTTAAATTGCCATGGTTCACAAAACGCATTTTAAAAAGGAGAATCATAACCAGTGGGAAGATGATGATCGTACCATCACATCGTAGATGGAAGCAGATAGCCCCGAATCCGAGACGGCGCGACCAAACCCAACCAATTTTCCGTTGGACGGCGTCACCGCCCGAGCCAAATTTCCTCCAAAAGCCGCCAAACGGGAGCGACGACGGAGCTATGGAGGATAGCTTTACGGAGCTTGTTGGGGTCGACCGGATCCACTCGGCCATCGGCGTCGAGTTTGTGAAAGCGGTGGCAAGAGTGGTTGCAGGCGGAGTATAGCTCGCCGACGCAGTGGATGTCAACGCCGTCTAGGTTTGTAGCTATGAACAATTGCGGCGGATTTGGGCGGATTCCAGGGATGATCCGCCGCGCTAGTTGGAATTTGGGAGGGAGATAACTGCAGTGCACCGCCAACGACATCGCATTTTATGATCCAACAGTATTTGATTTTAAGATTAATACTCACTTAATATTTTTTTATAAATTTTTGTAGATAAATAATGCTCCTCATCTTAAAATTAATTTTTCATTTTATATAAATATATATATTATAAAAATAATATATTTCAAAATTATATTTAAAAATGTGTCTATTGATAATACATTTATATGAAAATTTAAACTATAAAAACAGTAAAAGTATGAAAAAGAAACCAAATCAGGAGTAAAACATATTTCATATTTTTAAAATAAGATTTAAAACATAAACTTCTCCAAATAGGAGTAGTTTCCTTAATTAATTTAATTTTCTCACGTACTCTATCCTTTCCTATTAATCTCTTTTTTGCACAGCTCCATCTCCCTCTCTTTTCTACATAGCGCCATCATTTTTTATAAAATGTAAAACAAAAAATATACCCATTAATTCTTAAAAACAGCAATATACATGTTGTGCCTCTACCGCTCAACGCTTTTACTCCTTGGATTTGCAATACAAGCCTATAGCAAGAATATTCACACAAAAAGTCCACCGTCGTTGGTAAGTACTCGGTGCTCAGGAGGAATGTCGTCGTTGGCCGGAGTAGCCAGTTGTCGGAACACCAACTCATAACCCCTTCTTTATTCTCCAATCTGAACTACTGCCACCATCACGCATGCCGCCACCGTTGTCTAGCGGCACCACAATTAGCATGTTATTGTCTACCACAATGTCACATTAACTATTTATACAATCTCAAGTAAAAATATATAATGTTAAACATGACAACATATAACGTTACACATGACAACACACAATGTCATATATGGCAATGTATAAAGATGATAATGTACAATGTGAACATTTAGATTTAAACAATTGAAAATGACTGAAACAAAAATCAACTTAAACAATCGAACGAGCGACTATAAGAATCAAATTTAAAAGAGTTTTACAGAAATATTTTTCAAAAAAGCAAAAGAATTGAATCTAAAAATATAGTTTAGCTTTAAACAATTAGAAGAGCATAACATAAAACTTCAATAATTTTTTAGGGTTGATTTTGCTTAACGAGGAAGGAATCTCTAGAATTGTGGAGATGAAACTCTAATATGCGAAAACAATGCATGCTAACCATTTCCAAAATTTGAAAAGAGAGGTGTTGCAGCTTGTGATTGGGGTGTGGCGGTGGCCTGCAATTTGGAATTGATCTACTCTATTTAGAAGAGTTTAAGTTTGACCTCGTATTTCGAAGATATGACTTTTTGAGAAATTTCTTCAGAACTATTCATATATTATTTGGATGATATTTTAGTCTTTAAGAGATATTGATATTGAAATACTAAATAATTAAAAATTTAAAACTAGAGAGATAATGATATAAGTTTTTCAAATCACAATGCTATTGATAGAATAAACTTTGAAAATGCAATAAAAAAACATAGAGTATTTTATTAATGGGAGCGTCTAAAATGACACTAGTTACTTTTACACCAGTTGCTTACACAAGTTCGTTTGGGGTACTTACAGTGCTCCGTTTGTAAAAGCAACGATTCCTACCCCCATAACCCACCCCCTAAACCCCCTACCCCGGCCTCACCCTTGCCCTCTCACCCCAGTCCCCCCTCCCTACCCTGGCAGTGTACTGCCAGAGTAGGGAGGGGGGCGAGAGGGGGGCTAGGGTGGGAGGGCAAGGGTGGGGCTGGGGTAAGGGGTTTAGGGAGTGGGTTAGGGGTAGAAACCGTCGCTTTTACAAACGGTACCCCAAACGAACTTGTGTAAGCAAATGACACCCGCCGCACTGGTGTCATTTTAGACTTACCGTTTGTTATTTTCCACACGGATTTCCACCACATGGACAGAGTAAAAAATTTGAAAAAATAGGGAATGAATTAAAAAATCAAATAGATCCAAAGTTGGGTGTCGATAGTTGATACTCTGGTCCCTCTTTGCACTCTCTTTTCATCTTCTTCCTCACTCACTCTCAAACGCTAAAACCCAAATTCTTCTTTTCTTTCTTTCTTTCGCTCTTGTTTCTTTCCCACCCACCACACATCACGCTCTACTTCTTTAATCTTTAATCATTAAGATAGATTAGAATATTAAACAGCAAAAAGAGAAGTTCCCACCAAGACTCTTTTTTTTCCTTCATTTTTGCCCCAAATCCTCGTTCCAGATCTTCATCAAAGCTCCCATCTTTGAAATCTCTGCTCAGCTCCGCCGTTGTTTTCTGTAAGCTTCTCCACGACTTGCATTTTCGTATACTGGTTTCTTGTACTTTTCTTGAATGTGTATGTACGAATCTGTGTATGTAAAACTGGGAAAGATGCTTGCCAACAATCAATGATGTTGAGGTTTCTGTGGCAAAGACTCTATCTTTCTCAGGACAGATCTGATTTGAGAGTTGTTTGGTTTGATCTGCCAATTCCATTTTCTGGGTGGAGTTGACTATGGCTAAATATTGGGGGGGGGGNTTTAACAGAAATGTTTATGGTCAGTTTTGGAATTAGCATTGGTTGTGCAATGTTAATGCCTGACGTTTTCTAAAGTGATTTATTGTTACTGTGTTAAGGTTGTCCATAGGAACTGTTTGTGCATTGTGCCTGCCAAGTTCTGGGACCCGATGGAGTTGAACTCGGGTTACTGCTGAAGGATTTGAAGGATTCCAGGTTGGTATTTTAATTTAATTTGGATGATGACAATGATACGAGCCGGGGGCCTATTGGAAATAGCCTCTTTACTTCATAGTATATTAGTAGGGGCGAGGTCTGCCTAAAGACTCCTTACACAGACCTTACTATTTGTTGTATTTTACTGGGTTTATTGTTGTTGTTGTTGACAACAATATGAATGGTTGACGTGATTTTGTTTAATTTGTTTCATCAGGCTGACATTTTTTTGTGATGTCGAGCACAATGAATGCTGATGAAGTCTTGGATTACATTGAATTTCGGATTTACCCTAGCGAAAATAGGTAACTCTTACCATTCTATTTGATGGGGTTTATTTTTTAAAGCAACTCAATGTGCCATTGGTTTTAAGATGAAGGGTGGCAAAAAATATTTATTACGAGTATCATTATTTGTTTTCCTTTTCTTTTCCCTCTATGTTTTGCAACTTTGCAGCGATTGATGATCTAAAATCATTTTTACAAGGTATTGTTACCAATATCTTACATTCACTCAAATTAATGAGTGAACTTTCAAGCCTAAAGACTGCATCAAATATTTTGTTGTTTTCGGGCACCATTTAATCCATTTCTATTTTTTGAAATGCCAATTAAGGTAAAAGAGTGGTTATTGTAAATGTTTTAGCTTCGGGCAGATAATGACACATTGAAGTTCCCTTACTTCTTCCCCTCTATGAAATTTTGGATAGTAAATGCACCAGTGCATCTAGGGTCTAAAGGAAACGGCCTCTCTGCTTTTGCAGGGGTAAGACTGCATACATCTTGACCTCCTCAGACCCCAACAGTGTTTGGGGCATTTACTTAAATGTTAAATTAGTTTAAGATTATATTCTTTGGTGAATTGATGGATTTGGTGCTTCCTGTTTGAGGTGGCAAGTGAAAACATGGCCCTAACCCCTAACCTGTCACAATTATTATTATAGTTATTATTATTATTATTATTATTATTATTATTATGATTAGAATTATTCTCATTATTATTATTATTATTATAATCATCATCATCATCACCATTATTCTTGAATAGGTATGAAGCTTGCATAAGCTGTCACAATGAGATAGAAACTGCAAGTTCGGGGCTTCTAGAGCAACTTGCACTGCATTCTTCAATAGCTAAAGCTTTGAGCTTGAAAGGATCAGAATCCTATTTTAAGCTCGAACCACCAGATAATCTTAGCGAGGCTACATGGTTTTCAAAAATCACATTAATTAGGTTTGATCATTAAAAACTCTCATATTTTTTCATAGTAATAATGCAGCCTCAGATTGACAGATTGTCGGCATAATGTATGACTCCTTGCAATCCCTTCTTTATTTAGGTGTCTTAATATTATTAATTCAATGGATATACTGGAGAAGTTCAAAGAAATGGAGAAGGAGATATCTCAGCTTGAAGAAGCACGAAAGTTTCATGCTTCTTTATATGCAAAGGTGACACCTTTATGATCTTTTTCCCATTAAAACTAAATTTTCACTTTCCCGCCAACGAAGCAACTATGACAAACAATTTTTTGTGTGTTCTTAACAGGCTGATGATAATTATCAGACACCAGATTCTTCCAAGTATGCCTTTGTTATTCTTTTCATATTGAATTTACTTTTTTGTTCTTCTAAGTATCTCTAGTTATCCCTTTGGTTGGGCAGGAATGAGTTGCTGCGGGCAATAGATTTACGGCTCACAACATTAAGAGGGGAGTTGGCTGATGCTTTTGACCTAGCTGTTGGCACTACTTGTTCTTGTGAGGATATCATTGGAGTTGAAAAATTTAGTGATCATTTTGGAGCCGATGACTTGAGGTATAAATAATGGGATATGTTCTTCATTGCTTCACACACTTTCTTTAGTCGGCTTTCATTGTATACATGTTTTAAAAAACTTTGGGAAAACATCACTTTTGGTCCCCCGAATTATTAGTGACATTGGGTTTATGTTTTGTTCTTTTCACCTTGTTTTTACCGGGGTGGAGTCTGGATATTTAGAATACAAAGCTGAAAAGAACAAGGACTTATTCCTTGAGTAGTTATTGAAGTTATTGTTTTCTATTCCCTTGTCAAAAGAAAACGCGATTTCGTGATACACTTGTGTCTACATATCTCAGGAACACCCTACAAAAGTTGGTTATATGGAGAGGGGAGAACGGAAGCACAGACACAGCAAATAAAAAACATTCTGTTGCAGAACAGGATTCAGAGACAAACCAACCTGTTTCATCGGATCCACCAGTAAGATATGGTGCTTCGCCAGCTAAAGCTGCACGAGCCGAGAGAGAAATCTCATCAGAATCTGAGGATTCTTCTTCTTGCGCAGCTGAAGAGAGGAGTCG